AAATGCCACAAGTTGTATACCATTACAACTAAACAAGTGTTTGATCAAATTAGAGCAATATTGCAAATAAGCTACTGATGGTAAACTGAGAACCAAAACTGTACATGCTGTATGTTGCCATCAACTAAATAACTGCTGTTAAAATTTATGCAATTTTGGAAATAACTGATTAATATGTGTAACATATTTGAATGCAGCATGGGGAAGGAAAGAACTATCACAACAGTCATCCAGTTCCTTTTTTTTAAAAAAAAAATATATCAAGCTATCTTGTTGAATTGATAGGGTGAACACTTCAGAGAGGTGATGAAGCGGATTCAAACAATGTTGGACATCCAGGAAAAAGAATTTGAGAAGGTAACAGTCTAGTGGGGAAGAGTTTTCATTGATGTTTATAAATCCTAAAGTTAAAAAAAATCATAATGTAAATCAGCCCAGCTAATTTATCAGAAAAAAATAAGATTCAGTTTAGATCAACTGTGTCTGGGATTGTCAGAATAAGTGGCAGTAAGCAAGGAGAAAAAGTGCTATATAAGAATTTTCAGTTTCCCCTTTCCTTGCTTGGAAACCATGCCACAAGAATTAATCCATTTTCTGCTTTTGCTGAGAGGACTGTTGCTTCATTTATAAAGTTTTGCTTTTATCCAAACTCTTGATAATTTTGTTCCTTTTTGAAGTTTAAGTTTGCCATTGTAATGATGGGTCGGCACCAGTACCTAAATGAAGATGAGTATGAAGTGAACTTGAAAGATTTTGAGCCCCAACCTGGTGAGTAGCTAATTGACCTGTCTTTATTCTTTCAAACTGCAGCTGTTGCTTTGCTGTTTGTTATGCAGTCTGTTGTAAAGCAGGACTTAAAGTAAAGGAAAAAGAAGCTTTGTTGCTCTCTGTACATAATAATCAATAATCATAATCAAATGTTTGCATATATACATATATTTAACTGTATATAAATATATATAGCACATCACTCTTCTAAGTGTATAGGCTGCTTAATATGAGAGAATATGTATACATCTAAAAGCAAAATACTTGCATACCGTATGTTTTCCCAAATTAAAAGCGTGTCCCCAAGTGGCTGAGTATTGCATCAGACAAACCTAAAAGGAAGCTGCAGTGTCAGCTTTATTTTTGCTCTATTGTCCATCCTGTCCTACTTTGCATACTTGATTTCCACACTTTTCATGGAGTAACGTAAACACTGTATTGCTATATAGTGCAAGCTGCATTCTCATGAGTATTTTAAATCTAAGACTGTCCTGAACAGGTTGTTGATTTCTTACATTTCTGGTAGAGTTAACGTAGTCTCTGTATGTTGCCAGTGAATGTGAAGAATCTTAACAGGGAGAGGACATTAGATAAGAGAAATAAATGGTGTATAGAAATATATTATGCCAAATTCAGCTGTGCACCTGTTTACTAACATGTACTTAAAGTTCTGTTCGCCATGCTAGCATGGTGAGGTGCAAAGCCAATGGAACCAGTGGGACTTGTATGCATTCAATACTGAGGGCTTTCATTCTTTCAGGGCTTCTACTGAGGATAAAATAGCAGTTGAGAGTGAAAAAGGCCTGATTTTGGAAGTAATTAATGGACTGTAGAAACAAAATTAAAAGCAGCATTGTTTATAACCTGATATAGTCAATAATGTATAATAAGAATAATAAGATAAACTAGAATGAAAAGAGCAGTGCTGAAACTGGCAGTGAAAATCGGAAGATACTGAATTTGGAACTTGCAAAACAAGTTAAACAGACCGTCTCCCTCATGCTGAACTGAACATACTAAAGCCTTGGGTCTGTCCCAGGCTTTAACTAAACTGACTTAGCACATGTTAACAATGGCTGTGCACCTCTACACTTGACTTTTCGAAAAGTTAGCTAACAGGTTCTAAAAATACTTCAATTAATCCTAATCTAGATGGACTGAAAGTGGGTGGTATGTTCTGCCACTAATTAAGTAGTGCATGGTGTTTTGGTGTTGGACTGTAGCTCTTTACAGACATTGAAGTTGAAGGAAAAACTATTCAATTGATCAAAGAACACAGCTGTATATTGTGGTAGAGGAAATGCAATGGTTGATGTGAAAGGATTCTACAATCCTTTTGTTGCTTTAATATGGCAAGACTTATGATGTTTCATAAATTGCCATGCAAAAGGTATTTGAATGCTTTGTACAAATGCTTTGGCTTAACCCCTGCTCCCTCTTTTCTCCCCTTTTCTAGGCAACATGTCTCATCCAAGGCCATGGCTAGGGCTTGACCACTTCAACAAGGCCCCAAAGAGAAGTCGCTACACTTACCTGGAGAAAGCTATTAAAATCCATAACTGACTCACTTAACCCATTTGTTCAAGGCAAGGGACAACAAATAAGTGTGTGTGTGCACCTTTTTAACAACAGTAGAACTTTGGTACACGTGCACTATATCTGAAGTCTTCAGCAAGAGGATTTGCTGCTGATGTTAATTTTATTTTGTTGAGGCTGTTCAGTTTGGCTTCTCTGTATCTATTGACTGCCCTTTTTGAGCAAAATGAAGGTGTTTTTATAAAGCTTGGATGCCAATGAGAGTTATTTTATGGTAAACGTAATGCAAGGCAATTGTCAGCATAATGAGGGAAGAGTTTAGTAGACCAGTTGACATTGGCAAAATATTTGTCTGTAGTACGTTTATAGATGGCATAAGCTAGCTGGCTGCCCTTCCTGGTGCGGTATTCACCATCACAGCAGCTAGTAAGTCTTATGTTTAGACTCACATCGGATTTATTTCCTTCAGTTATACTTTAAAATGACATTTTTGTGCATTTGTAAATGCAAAAAACTCACATCATCAATAAATAGCAATCTCTACTTCATTGTGTACATTGTTGGCACTTATTCGGGATTTTTGTCTCATCCAGTTGCATAGAATCTTTTTAAATAAACTAGTTTTCATTTAATTCAATCACTACTTCGCATCCCGTTTTGCCAAATGGATGCTCTGAGTCCTAAAAGATATTTGGGTCTTTTTATTAAATTTACAAACCTTGACAAATACAGTTAAAGTTTACTATGTTGTCTTTTGACAAATAAAATGACACTCGAAGTTGGCAAAAGCAGGTGAAAGGATTATAAATATAATTGATTTAGTTAAAGAGGAAAAAGATGGGAAAAACACAAGAAATAGCCTTTTAGCACAGAGGGCATGCTCACTAGTGTTTAGTAAGCTGTTGAATTTGTAAAAAAAAAAAAAAAAAGAAA